ATGAGAAATCACGTGTGCATGAACAGTACCTCAAATTGGACATCGTGAAATCGACGTGAAAACGAAGGTGTTCTTACCTGAAAATGGTATAGTTGGACTCCTACAAGCCTTACGAGCTCGAATATGTGCTTGGTTTCTTCGATCTGTGAATGTTTGATAGGTTTGTGGGTGTGTCCGTACGTTTCAATGGAAATGGGGAAAGGAATGGGGCTTGGGACAGGCGCAGGAAACAGGAGGAAAAGGCTGTGGTGTGTGGGAAGGTGTGTGTGGCTCCAAACATGCCAACCAAAACTCAAAACAACCAATAAACGTAAAGAAAACGAACTAGGAGCAAAACTGTCTTTTCACGCGTACGTTTTAACATTCCCGGGACGGGCTGTCACAAGCTTGTGCCAAGGCGTCTCTCCACGTACTAAACGATTGGCTAAGTAATTTCCAACGACTGGACATCGATTCTTTGGTTCTTTTCCCACCAATTTTCTCAAGATAATTGGTATGAATAAGACTCCACATTTCTCGCAACTGCATCTCATTACCCGTAAAGGAACTATGAGTAACTTCAACCCAGCTAGTACACAACGCAACATCTTTAATAAGCGACCAATTCGTACCTGCACTAGTGGTCATTTTGTTGAAAAAAATGGATTCAAACTTTGAGACAAAGAAAGGAATGTGATTGAAAGTAGTTGAGAAAATATGAAATTGTTGTGTAAGGTAGATGATAATGAGAAGGTATTTATAGAAAAGTAAAAACAATTTTTTTTACAATTTTTTTTAGATTTTTTTAGATTTTTTTAGACTTTTCAGATTTTTTTTTTAATTTTTTTTAATTTTTTACAATTTTTTTAAAATTTTTATTCAATTAATTAATCTCTGCTGTTGGATATAAAAAATTTGAATTCCAACACTCCAGATTGTGCCATGTGTCACAACGGTAACTTTTCTTAATTTTAAAACTATTTTTTCTTTTATTTTTTTATTTATAAAGCATATTAATATCCACCGTTGATCTCAGATCGAACGGTGGATATTAAATAAGACTTTTTTATTTTTTTGACCGTTGAGATCGAACGGTCCAAATTAAATAATCGTTGAGATCTAACGGACCGTGGGAAGCCACGTGGCTTCCCAATGGTAACTGACAAAGTTTTTTTTTTTTTTTTTTTTTTTTTTTTTTTTTTCTGATTTTGTGTCGGCGACGCGCCCCCACGCGCGAGTGGGGTGCACGCGCCTGACAAAAAAAAAAAAATTAAATATTGCCTGACGCCAGGCTGACGTCAGCGTTGATGTCACATGGCCTCAGGCTCTCGGGCTGGCAATTCCCCACGGGCCCGGAGCTCGAGCCTCTACCTTCACTCGGGCTTGCCCACGCTGGAGCTGATCCACCGGGCCTCGGGCCCTTGTTCTATCCCCTGTCCCCCGAGCTTGCGCCCACGCTGGGCTTGCTCTAACTGGGTGGGTGGACGGAAGGAATAGTACCAATGGTGAAGTGTAAACAAAGCAAAGAAGTTCGGTATGGTATTATTGGAAAGAGATCCTCTTCAAATTCCTTCCATCAAATTTACCAAATCCACCAATTCGGATCTATGAAATTTAATCAAACTGCTAAAAACAAAAGTTTTTTTTTTTTTTAAATTATAATAATTGTAACCGTTTAATCAAATTTCAAAAATCCAGATTAGTGGATCATTTTTCCTATTATAATCCCAGCCAGTCAATGGCAAATTGGCATAGGCGCGTGGGATAGGAAAAAGTAGGCAGTGTGTCGTTGTCGCAGCGGTGGAGTGGTCAGTGCCATTAACTAAATAAATATAAATATTAAATTGATTATATTACTTAAACTTATTCAACAAAAATAAAAAGAAAAATAATTAGGGGAAGGAAAAAAAAAAAAAAAAAATTCCATCCCATCACAAAACTGGAAGTCTGGAAGCCACATGGTACGAAGAATATGAGGAAATCAATACAACTGTAATCTGCTGTGATCCTTTCTGGGTTGAAAAAGAAAACAAGAGCTTCTCCCAGCGTCACCCATCCAAGTTCAACATTCCCAATTATTGAATAAATTAATAGATAATACAACAGAAAAAGTCCAAACTCAGTCCACATTTTCCTTTCTATTGCCAGCAACAGCAAGACAAAGCAACTAGCTTGTTTGTTTTGTGAATTGAGTTCATTCATTACTCATCAGATCTGATCGCTTTGCTTTGGGTGTCGGTGTCGGTGGAACTCAATAACATCTGTCGGTCGGCAGGCATTCTATTAGAGCTATGAGCATGTACGGCAGGGACCCCTGGGGGGGCCCGCTGGAGATAAACACGGCTGACTCTGCCACCGACGACGACCGCAGCCGGAACCTACAGGATCTGGACAGGGCGGCGCTGTCGTCGCGGCCTCTGGACGAGACTCAGCAGAGCTGGCTGCTGGGTCCCTCCGGCGAGCAGAAGAAGAAGAAGTATGTGGATCTGGGATGCATCATCGTCAGCCGTAAGATCTTTGTGTGGACGGTCGGGACGCTGCTGGTCTCGGCCTTCCTGGCGGGCTTCATCACGCTCATCGTCAAGACTGTGCCGCGTCACCGCCACGCCCGCCCTCCCCCCGACAACTACACTTTGGCGCTTCGCAAGTCCCTAATGTTCTTCAACGCCCAGCGGTGTATGTTTCTTTTTTCCTTCTATTTTTGGTTGGTGCTGCTTTTTTTACAAAAAAATATAAGACTCATTTAATACCCTCAGAAACATAAAGTGTAACTGTCAAATCTGGATCATGTTTGTTTGTTTTTGGTTAATTTGGCTTCCTCAGATCCTGTCATCACTAATATGTCTGTCATTCATTCAATAATTATGTCATTCATATTAATTTTCTATAATATATGGGCCTGGCAGCCGGAAAACTCCCAAAGCATAACAATGTGTCGTGGAGGGGTAATTCGTGCTTAAGGGATGGCAATGATCCCTCCACCACTTTCAAAGATCTTGCCGGTGGCTTTTATGATGCCGGAGATGCCATCAAGTTCAACTTCCCCGCCTCGTTCGCCATGACCATGCTCAGCTGGAGTGTCATTGAATACAGTGCTAAGTATGAAGCTGCTGGGGAACTCTCCCATGTTAAAGAAATCATTAAATGGGGATCCGATTACTTTTTGAAGACCTTCAACCATTCTGCCGATTCCATTGACCGACTTGTTGCCCAGGTATCCATCTCTCTGCCTAATATTTGCAGCATTCACTACTTAGCCCTCTCTTTTATTTTTCACTTTTCAGTGCCTATTGCTAATTTCCTAATCTGCTACTCTGCTAATTTGACAGGTTGGGGTAGGATCTACTGCCGGAGGAAGTACTACTCCTAATGATCATTATTGCTGGATGCGTCCTGAGGATATTGACTACCAGCGTCCTGTGTATGAGTGTCATAGTTGCTCCGATCTAGCTGCGGAAATGGCCGCCGCTCTAGCTGCTTCGTCCATAGTTTTCAAAGATAACAAGGCATACTCTCAGAAACTTGTTCATGGTGCAAAAACACTCTTCAGGTTTTCAAGGGAACAGAGAGGCAGATATAGTGCTGGTGGTAGCACGGATGCGGCAACCTTCTACAATTCCACCAGTTATTGGGATGAGTTCATATGGGGCGGAGCTTGGATGTATTATGCTACTGGAAATTCCTCTTATCTTCAGCTTGCAACAACTCCGGGTCTTGCTAAACATGCTGGTGCCTTCTGGGGAGGACCTGATTATGGAGTATTGAGCTGGGACAACAAGCTTGCTGGGGCTCAGGTACGCTAGCAGAAGAATTCATGTTTTGATATGATGCATGCAATTTCTAAAATCCATTTATACATGTCTTACAACTATCTTCTGTTAGTTCTATGTTATGAATCAGGTCTTTATCTAATATCAGATTACGTTCGGGTTATGACCTTCACAATTTTAGTTGCTTCATATTTTTTATTGTCAACACAATCTTGAAATTCTTTGACTAGGTGCTTCTGAGCCGTTTGAGGTTATTCTTGAGCCCTGGGTATCCGTATGAAGAAATTTTGAGGACATTTCACAACCAGACTAGCATAATCATGTGCTCATACCTGCCTGTTTTTACAACCTTCAACAGAACCAAAGGTATGAGGTTCTTACTCCATAATTGTTTGTGTTTTGAACTTAATTGACCTCACGGGGTTCTCAAGTATGGAATCTAACATCTTACTGACCTGCTGCAGGAGGCTTGATCCAGTTGAATCATGGAAGGCCACAACCTCTTCAGTATGTAGTCAATGCAGCCTTCTTAGCTACATTGTATAGTGATTATCTTGATGCTGCTGATACACCTGGGTGGTATTGTGGACCAAACTTCTACTCTACTGACGTGTTGCGAGAATTTGCTAAAACTCAGGTATATATTTTTCATTTGCTTTCTTTCCTTTAAATTTTTTTCAGTGAGGTTGCTGACGGGCCTTGTACTCCCCACACGTGTAAAGACTCATGTTGAGACTTGATTGGCCAATAACCTTTTTTTTTTCTTCACCCTCTCTTTGGCAGATTGATTACATCCTTGGCAAAAATCCTCGAAAAATGAGTTATGTCGTGGGCTTTGGTAATCATTACCCAAAACATGTCCACCATAGAGGCGCATCTATTCCGAAGAACAAAATCAAATACAGTTGTAAAGGAGGATGGAAATGGAGGGACACTCCAAAAGCAAACCCAAACACGATTGATGGGGCCATGGTTGCTGGTCCTGACAAACATGATGGTTTCCGTGATGTTCGTTCTAATTACAACTACACAGAGCCGACTCTTGCAGGAAATGCAGGTTTGGTAGCAGCACTTGTTGCTTTGTCGGGAGAAAAATCTGTTGGAATTGACAAAAATACGATTTTCTCTGCGGTTCCCCCAATGTTCCCCACTCCACCACCACCTCCGTCACCCTGGAAACCATGAGATGCTAAAGCGGTTACTGTTGTTTTAGTATGCTAAAGCAGTCTCGTTGACATAAACAGTAACTCAGTAACATGAAGATCAAGGGGATGGGCGCAAGGAATTACTGGACAGACGTTGAGAGATTGTTGTGCTGGCCTTCGTCAAGAGGAATTGATAAAAATGTCTATTTGATTGAATTTTGTGATATATACAGTATATATGTCTGAGACAAATCCTGTATTTTTTGAAACATGGAAAGTGAACAGTTTGAATTTGGTTAACAGATAATAAATTTGAATTTTGCATGTCAGTATTTTTCTCGCTCCTTACCTCCCCGGAATTTGGGTTTTGACAAGAATGTGTCATGCTAATGCTGTTATGAGCATTGAGTTGTATTCTCCGTCTCGACCCGACTCAGCTTCTTACTTTACGTGGATCTGCGCTATGTTTTCATTTGTTTTTTCTGGTAGCCGCAGCGCAGAGTATTGGCGAGTTGAATGAGGAGCTCTGTAAGAATAACAATAACCAAATAGCATGGATTCAACCAATTGAATCACAACTCACTAATAACCAATATGTAAAACTATAAACCAAAAGCTACAAAAAACTAACCTGCAGAATTCGATCCAGATGAAGTAGCCATTGTAGCTTCGTGAACTCAAAACCTTCTCCTCTTTAACAAGACACGATAGCTCGTTTAATCAATAGGACTTGTAACGATCATGAACCAAGAGCTTGCAAGTAGTGGCTTAAGGGTTTAAGCCTTATATAGTATTCCTCTAACTATTCCCTATTAGAATCAGTTTAGGATTTAAACTATACAATCAATACTAAATCATGAGTCTAAATGAGTTCCAGCACTAAGTTTCAATCCCACAGGGATTGAACAATTCTCAATACTCATATCCGAAAAGAATAAGGATAACTCACAGCTTTTAATCAAAACTTTTCCATATCAATCTTAAACACTATAGCCAGTCCTCTTACATAATTCATACACATAATCTTACACTTTCTATTTAGTAGATGTAGATCTTGCAGTGGTAACTTTCCTCTTTTACTCGGTGAAATTATGTAAGTTAGCATGGCCATCTTGAATATGTATACACTGTTCTAAAAAGCGGTCTAAGCGGCCACTTAGGCGCTGGGCATTAGGCCGCCTTCGCGATTATCCTAAAAACGTTCAATAAATCGGAGGGGTTTAAGCGGTGACTAGGCGGCCGATTGGGCATGCTAGGCGACCGATTGGGCATCCTAAGCGGCCGACTTGGCGTGCTAGGCGGCCTTGGCGGTGGTATAGGCGACCCTGTTCTGTCTCACCATTTCACTGCATGTCGTAGAAGAGAAATAGACAGCATAATATCTAAAGAGTGAGCGGGAGAGCATGAGGAAAGAGGGAGAACTGTAGAATGAATTAAAAAAATGGATCTGTAATTGCATGAAAAAAACGAGAATTTGATTTAGACGCTTGGGATTTCTGCTGGAGCAGGCAACGAGGGTTTCTTCGCTGCTTGAGAAATTTTGCAGAACAAAATAAATGGAAAATTAGGCAGAGTGATCGAAGAAGGGAGGAAGACGACACGGAACAAAACCCAAAATCAAAGCTTTCGGCATTTCAAGTCTCAAAAACCGAATGAGGATCTTCTCCGTATCCTTTTTGTGAGGATCTGGATCCTTTAATCGTCGTTCGTCGTAAATTATGTGATCAGTTTTTATCAGTTACTATTGATGCTCAATTTTAAATATTTAAAATAATTTATAACTCGATCTACGATGAATGAACATGATTAGAGGATCCTCATTCTTCAAAACCAATTCTCCGAATTCTAAGGCCTTATTAATTATAATAAAAGAATAAAATACAATTTTCCACTCCACCATTAAATAAATATAAATAAGATTATTACGATAATGTTTTATTATTTTCTTTTTCTTTTTAGAATCACACCATACCTAAAACTTTCACATTACATATTAGGGGTGGACAAATGGGTAGAGGAACCGCGGGTCGAGGCGGGTAATCAAGGTTTCCCGGGGCGGGGGGGGGGGGGGGGGGGGGGGGGGGGGAGGGGGTGGTGGGGTTTACATGGCGGTTCTAATTTTCTTAGAGATAAATGGGCCAAGGCGGGGCTGGGTATTTAAGGGTCGAGGCGAGTCCAAATCTTTAGAAGGAAGGGGCCCTAAATCGGCCTATTTCTAAATATAATGAATGGATAAGGCTT